TTTTCATGCACTTCTGTGCGCCCAAGCTGCTTCTAAGTAGCTGCAGGTTCAACTCATGCGCCCACCAAAGCTGCAAGCATTGGTTTCCGATCACTTAAGATCTACTCACTACCGTCATCACTATCAGATCCATCAGAAGCACTGGTGGCATGACCGGCTTCAGTCTCTGCATTCTCGATTTCAAAGTCCATGGGCTCAGACTTTTTGACCTTCAGTCGTCGACGGGACAATTGGCTGGCAGACATAGAGCCAATGGCCTGCAAGCGGTCCGGATGAGTCCTCCACCTGCAGTAGGTCGAACCAAGGGCTCAGAATTCAGAATCACTTGAAGCTTGAGAAATGGGATGAAATCAATTGAAATGGTCATGGATGATTTGGGGGTCCAAGTGATCCACGAATGAAATCATAACCGATCCTCATCACCACCATCCAATTGGGGTACTCCACTTTGAGACATAACTGCATTAAAAACCTGGATATCAAATCAGTAACTCAACAACGAATTGAATTCTTGGTGCTGGTTGGGAAGTAAAAAGATTCTGAGCTACGGGCTTCTTGCGAGCCATCTGCAAGCGGTTAGCGGCTGTGAGATCTGGACGGCTCGTTGCCAATGCCTCACGCTCAGCCTTCAGGAAGCTCTGATACAGGGACATCAGTGCCTCACGGGGTAGTACATGGCTTTTCTGCATGAATCACGGTGTCCAATGATATGAGTCCACAAAGACATACACAGTCATGTGTACAGTGCAGACAACATGGATTGACAGGCTGGAGCAAAGCCAATTCCAGGGTGTTTTTTGTCCCTGCCTTGGGATCCTTAGGCTTGTCAGATGGCTTCTTCTGAAAGGAGGCCAGGAATCCGTGGTAAGATATCTCGAGTGGAAATCATTCAAGCACACGAGCGATAAAACAGAGATAAACAGATACTGCAATTTTGGGTTAAAACGATAAACATACCTTATATACCAGAGCACAAGAAATATTCAGTGGTCAATTTTTTGGGTTAAAACGATAAACACACCTGAAATATTCAGTGGTCGATTTATTTGGCAGTAAGATATACTGCATTTTTTCTTTAAACGATAAACACACCTTATATACCACAGCACAAGAAATATTCAGTGGTCGGTTCATTCGGCAGTAAGATATACTGCAATTTTGGGTTAAACCAATAAACATACCTTATATATACCACAGCACAGGAAATATTCAGTGGTCGGTTCATTCGACTGTAAGATATACTGCATTTTTTGGTTAAAAGGATAAACATACCTTTGAACATCTTTGGAAGTTTGACCAACATCAGTGCTTCATCTCATGACTGATTTGATCTTTAAATTTGACTTTGAAACTGAAACTTCACATTGTGTTGATGCTGCTGGCTCCCCTGCCTCTGCACTGGCCTCTTTGTCGCCATCCTTGCTCTTCACTTTGTTCTTGCCCTCTTTCTTCACAGTTTTCATCTTTCTCGAAGGCTTGCGTGTGCTGTTGAAATCCTCATGGAGTCCCAGAGCCCTTGCAGCAAGGGAATGCTTCTTCACCTCTTCCTCTTCCTCACTGCCCTCATCGCTCTGCTTCTTGCTGATCTTCTTTTTCTTTGCCTGCTTTGATCCTGCACTGGGCTCAATGCTGTGCTTCTTGCTGCTGCTGGGTTTTGACATGCTTTCTGCCTCAGACATGTCATCGCCATCATCATTGCACTTCTCCTCACAGTCCAGTGCATCATCACTCTGACTGTCAGACATCTTTGCTTTCTTTGCATGCTTGTTGCTGTTCGACTTCTTCTTCGCTTCTTTGCGGGTCTTGTCAGTTCCTGTCTCTTCCTTCTTCTGGCCACCCTTTGGCTTATTGCGTCTCTTCGGCTTGGGGTCTTCCTTGATCTCTTCATCTTGGACCTCCTCTTCAAGCTGCTTGCGTTTCTTCTCTGCTTTGCTGTCATCCTCTTTGTTGGCTACCTTGCTGAGTTTGTTTGCTTTGGCTACTCGGGATGGTTTTGCAGGGGGGCTGGCTCTTCCTTCTTGCTCTTTGCTTCTGGCTTCATGTCATCGCCCTCTGCATCTTCTTCCTTCTCATCCTTCTTGCCTTTCTTGCTTTTTTTCTTCTCTTCCAGCTTCTTGGTCGTGGGTGCTTTGGCTGTCTTCCGGGGGGGTGGTGCTTCGGAACTGCTTTCCTCTTGCTCTGAAGTGTCTGACTCCTCACTGTCCAAAGTATTTGACCCATCTTCTGAAAACTTCTGGCTTTTCTTCCCTTTGTGCTTGTTCATGCTGCTTGTGTTGCTGCCTGCCTTCTTGCCCTTACCTTTCTCTGCCTTGGGGACCTTGGCTGCTTTGCCTTGCACTGCTTTGGCTGCTTGCGGTGCTTTTGTAGTAGGCTTCGGCTCTGCGTCTTCCTCCTGCATCTTCTTGCTGGGGCGGCCGTGGGATTCCAAGGCTGCACTCATCTCCTCTGAGCTCAACTCTTCCTCGTCCAGATCTTCATCGATGTGGATCTCTTCAGCCCCACACTTGACCCCACTATCCTTGCCACCCTTGGGCTTGTTGCTTTCCTCTTCCTTGATCTCTTCATCTTGGACCTCCTTTTGAAGCTTCTTGCGTTTCTTCTCTGCTTTGCTGTCATCCTCTTTGTTGGCTACCTTGCTGAGTTTGTTTGCTTTGGCTGCTCGGGATGGTTTTGCAGGGGGGGCTGGCTCTTCCTTCTTGCTCTTTGCTTCTGGCTTCATGTCATCGTCCTCTGCATCTTCTTCCTTCTCATCCTTCTTGCCTTTCTTGCTTTCTTTCTTCTCTTCCAGCTTCTTGGTCGTGGGTGCTTTGGCTGTCTTCCGGGGGGGTGGTGCTTCGGAACTGCTTTCCTCTTGCTCTGAAGTGTCTGACTCCTCACTGTCCAAAGTATTTGACCCATCTTCTGAAAACTTCTGGCTTTTCTTCCCTTTGTTGGTCTTGGAGCTGCATGGCTTCTTGGATTCTTTGGGTGCCTTGGCTGGCTGAGCCATGGCTTGTGATGCCCTTGACTTCTTTGGCTCCTCTGTTGTCTTCTTTGGCTGAGGCTCTTCACTGGCTTCTTCGTCTTCTTCCTCCTCGTCTTCCTGTGTTTTGCGTGCTTTCTTGCTGCCATCCTTCTCCTCAACCTTCTTGCTGTCCTTGCTGTCTGCTCCACCCTTCTTCTTGGATTCTTTGGTTGCCTTGGCTGGCTGAGCCATGGCTTGTGATGCCCTTGACTTCTTCGGTTCCTGTTCTGTCTTCTTTGGCTGAGGCTCTTCACTGGCTTCTTCGTCTTCTCCATCCATGTCCTCTTCCTTTGTTTTGCATGCTTTCTTGCTGCCATCCTTCTCCTCAACCTCCTTGCTGTCCTTGCTGTCTGTGCCATCCTTCTTCTTGGATTCTTTGGGTGCCTTGGCTGGCTGAGCCATGGCTTGTGATGCCCTTGACTTCTTCGGTTCCTCTGCTGTCTTCTTTGGCTGAGGCTCTTCACTGGCTTCTTCGTCTTCTCCGTCCATGTCTTCATCCATTGTTTTGCATGCTTTCTTGTTGCCATCCTTCTCCTCAACCTTCTTGCTGTCCTTGCTGTCTGTGCCATCCTTCTTCTTGGATTCTTTGGGTGCCTTGGCTGGCTGAGCCATGGCTTGTGATGCCCTTGACTTCTTTGGCTCCTCTGTTGTCTTCTTTGGCTGAGGCTCTTCACTGGCTTCTTCGTCTTCTTCCTCCTTGTCTTCATCCGTTGTTTTGCATGCTTTCTTGCTGCCATCCTTCTCCTCAACCTCCTTGCTGTCCTTGCTGTCTGTGCCATCCTTCTTCTTGGATTCTTTGGGTGCCTTGGCTGGCTGAGCCATGGCTTGTGATGCCCTTGACTTCTTCGGTTCCTCTGCTGTCTTCTTTGGCTGAGGCTCTTCACTGGCTTCTTCGTCTTCTCCGTCCATGTCTTCATCCATTGTTTTGCATGCTTTCTTGTTGCCATCCTTCTCCTCAACCTTCTTGCTGTCCTTGCTGTCTGTGCCATCCTTCTTCTTGGATTCTTTGGGTGCCTTGGCTGGCTGAGCCATGGCTTGTGATGCCCTTGACTTCTTCGGTTCCTCTGCTGTCTTCTTTGGCTGAGGCTCTTCACTGGCTTCTTCGTCTTCTCCATCCATGTCCTCTTCCTTTGTTTTGCATGCTTTCTTGCTGCCATCCTTCTCCTCAACCTCCTTGCTGTCCTTGCTGTCTGTGCCATCCTTCTTCTTGGATTCTTTGGGTGCCTTGGCTGTCTTTCCGTCCTTCTTGTTGTTGGTGTCTTCGTTGCAGGTCTCCTCATCTATTGTTGCGGCTGCTGCTGGTGCTTCATCATCTCCTGTGTGTTGTTGGCTCTCCTTCGGTTCTTCAGCATCACAGTTGTCCTCCGGATCTTTTGGAGTCTTGCCTGCAGGTGCCAGGCCTGGGGTAGGTGTTGCATTCTTTGCCTCCTCTTTCTCTTCCTTTGCCTTGGCTTTCTTCTTCTTTGCATCGTCAACTGTTTTCTGCAACTCCTTGATCCTTTGGGCTGAAAGTCGGGGATTGTTTTGGTCATTGGACTGTTCAGTCTGCAGTGGGACTGCAGGCCGGGGCGAGCTGTCTTCAAGCGACGTCGTAGAGTCCTTGCAGCTGGGAGGACAGGGCATGTCACTGTCAAACCAATAGTTTGGAAACGGTTCTGGGAGTCAGTGAGTTCTGACATCAAGATATCATCAAAACAAGTCCTGGCGTCCAATCCCTGGGCTTGTTGATGCAGTTGGCGAACGGGCCTAAGGAAGAGTCTCGAATCAAATTTCAAAAATTGATTTGGATCAAACACAGGTGTAAGAGTTTTGAAACCAGCTGGATTCTTGGGATGGGGCACCTTTGCATGGTGGAGTTTGTTTCGGAGATGGGTCTTGGCTGGCCAAAGAATCAAAGTCCTAGTGGCAACAATCTTGCACAAACATACAGTGTCAGTCCCACATCTTTGTAGCACATGCTGTTCTGCAATTCGGTACGCGAACAGTCCTGATCAAAACCATGTTGAGCAAGTAGGGATTCCAAGTTGACCATGGTGCTAAAAGGCAACCCACTCCGAGGAAAAGCTGAACCCAAACAGTTGGGAACTAGGACCTTCCACACTCCAACCAATGGGAAACCTGATGCTTGAGCAAGTCGAAATGGCTGAGGCTCAAAGATCTCAAAATACCTGCACGCATGGTAAACAGATAAAAAGGTAATCACGAAACAAAACTGAGGACATACCTTGAATGTTCAATACTTCAGTATGAATCAGTGTGAACATGGCAGTCCTGTCTTTCCTTTCCTCTTCAAGTCCTGGACTTTCTCTGGCCGGAGAAAGCGTGATGTTCCATGTGCCAGGATGAACTCTTCGGGATCGATCTCGACTGGGATGTGAGCTGCCTCACATCAAGGTGCTTGCCAGGGTCAGGAAGTGACTTCAGCACCAAACATATTAGAGTGGTGTGAGTTGGATCTGGGAAATCCAAATCACATCGTTCTGTTCAGTTTTGGTTTTGACTAGAACACCAACTGATACTACCCATTGGCCAAGGAGCGAGGAACAGTTTGAATTCTTGGTGCTCTTCAATGTTTTCCTGTGTTGTTCACTGCTGGGTTAGACAATGCAAACCTGTATGAACATTGTTGGGTAGAAATGGGTCCTGTAATGTTCTATTTCGTAACATATCGGAACATGAATCACACCCTAACAGCTGATATTATACTTTCACTCAACAAAACCTTATCGGGGTTAATGATGCTTTCCAATGGTGACATGATCTGATCTGATTCAGTCTGATCATGTATATCCCAGCACAATAGTTTTTCACCCAGCATTGTCAGGGGTGGAAAGGTTGTTATGTTTGATGAGTTTCTGATTTGCCTGCCCGATCACGAGCAGAAACAACAAACAATGTTGTTCCAGGCAGTCTCCCGGTGATCTTCGCTTCAACATTGTAGCGGTCCAACAAAGCCTGCATTGTGGAGGGTTCCCCAACCCAAGGTGGTTTCTCTGGAGTGTCCGGCTTTGCTGGTGCAGGTGATGCTGGCGCAGAGTACTTGATGTTGAACCTGAGGCCAGGGACTTCAAGATTGGTGACGATTGGTTGCTTCAAGATGGATATCGGGTAAGCTCCTTACAGGAAGCGTAAAAGAAACATTTAAACAAAATGGCTGATAGATGTTTTGCATTTGGCAGCATTTGATTTATGCAGACATGTGTAATTTTCCTCATGGCTTTCCATTGCCAAGAAAGTCTGTAAATGAGTGTTTTTTCTTTAATTCTTAGGGGAAGTCTTTAGGGGGTGGCAAGTGGCTGCCGGATATATCAATCACAGCTTGGAAACTTCTTGTCAAAATCGGTCAGCAACTCCTTCCAGTCACCACCAAACACGACATCATCAGCATAGCGGCCCCGGATGTTTGCAGGGACCTTCACCTTGTACTTGTCACTGAATTTTCTGCCATCAGTCTGGCCAGCCACAGCCTCCACTTGGATAAGCTTGAAGGAGAAATCTTGCAACTTCACATCATCCGGCGGGATGACAGGGTCAGGGTCATAGGCACGAACGTTCCCCATTGGGTGCTTGCCTTTCTTCCACCCCTGCATGAGAGACTCGATGCAAGTAAGTAGTTTACTCATTACTCAATGGAGCTTCTACTATTTTACTTATGAGTCCTTTGAGCATAATGTTAATAATTACATGTTACTACATCATCATATGATAATATGGATCAATCTATTTTTCAATCAAATCCAATGGCCCTGTCAAGATATGCTGTATCACACAGTCCTGAACCAGCTCCAGCGCCAAAGTCTTCTCACAGAAATCCACAATCGTAGCGCTTTTCCCCACACTGAGAGTCTTGATGTTGTAGCCAGGCAAGAAGTTGTTTGACCTTAGTTTGGAATAATGCTCTAAACAAGGTTCTCAAGGTTCTCTCAACACCCCAGGTCTCATGAAAAGGGAAATGACTGGGTAAAAAGAGGTGATCAATGTCCGTTTGTCATGACTTCCTTTTTCCACTGGTCCAATCAAATGGTTGGTAATGGCCCACTTAAAGTCCGAAGCCAAATGATAAAAATATTACTGCTGGGCTGCAAAGATGCTCCACGCAGACACGTTCCAACCAGCAATCGTATGGAGTGCAGTTTACGATTCCAAGAAGCTTCGAGGGCAATGCAGTTTTTGTAAGCAAGGCTGTGAGAATTGCCTCTGGGAAAGCCTTTCCGGACAGGAATTGTGCGCTTTCCTGCGTGTCTGAAAGGCTCCTCAAGGGAACAGTGCTCAGTCCACACAGAAAATGCAAGGTGAGTGGACACTGAAATGAAAATGAATGTGCACATTAGAAATTGAACAATGGTTTCATGTGACACTCATCAGGTTTTTTTCAAAACCAACATGCAACCACTATGCGAATTTGCTACACTGACCCAGGGACCTTGAATTGTTGAACTGAACTGTTTGTTTATTGGACAAAGTTTGGCCTCATGCCCTCTGATGCATGAGGTAGCGAGTCGCGCTCAGCCGAGGGGACGATGTACGACGTCTCAGCTGCAAACGGGATCAGTCGCCGTGTTGACCTGTGCCAGGGAGTCAGCGTAAATCAGAGGAATTCAAATGTTTGACATCACGTGCTAATTTTCCACTTGGGTTGGTCACCCAAAAAAGCCCCCCACAAGTCCCCATAAAATGTAAGGAAAACACTGTTTTTTGGGGACTTGTCGGGGCCTTTTTGGTGAACCAACCTAAGTGGAAATTTACCATCATTTTAAAGTAGCCATTTACAACATGATAAGGTTAAAATTTACAAACTACAGTTCCACACAAATGGCAACAAGTTCTGTTCAATGTTGAACCTGTCCATCACCAATTGCGATGATGCAAAAATGTTCTCAGCTTGCGTCGCTTCATCGATGATGAGCCACGAATGAAACACCAGTGGCACACGCTTTGATGTTGGTGGCACCTCCATTCTCACAGTGCAAAGTATGCTTGTCATGTTTTTCATATCCATTTTGTCTTCCACTCTCCTCATCTCTGTGCGTATGTTGGTCTTGGCCATGACTGGGGCAACTAGGAAGGCAGCACTCATGGTTGGCTTTTGCCGTATGACACTGGACACCACGTGCGCCATTGAGTCAAGCTCCTTCCCTGTGATCTTTCCGAGCTTTGTCAGGTCACCCCAAAGAAGCACAGCGCCAGACTTCGCAAGAACATCTTGGAGGTACTTAGGGTTGGGTACATGGGCATTCAATGTTTAGGTTACTAAACCATGGCAAACATGTCCCTTTTTTTCAAAATGTAAGGTTTGAATCTTTGGACACCAGTCCTTCTCTGCAGCAATTGTGGCCTCCGGATCCTCCCATGGGACCCCTGCCTTGAAGCATGCATTGCTCTCCATGTAGCTCTTGACAACGCTAGCTCCGATGAGGTTTTGATTCTTCAAGTGAAGAACTTTGGCCGTACGACGGCTCTTCCTCATCAATGTCAAATTCATTGGATTCCAAGATTGTTCAAATGAGTTTCTGGGATGTTCTGGGTATAAGCAGGGGGTATATGCGACCATACAGTGATATTACAGTTTCGATTCAAACAAGTTAAACTTTTGAAATTGAAGCAAAGATCTCTGAACGCATGTCGGCTTCATACAACTGCCCGACAGTCGCAACGTCCCTTGCAAACTGGAGGCAGTCTCGCTCGAATGCAGCTTTACCTGGGGGAAAGCGGCTTGGCTAAGAAGAACCTGTTTAGTTTTCCAATATGTCCTTCACAGTAATGGGGATTGAGGGAATAAATCAAATATAAAGGTTGATCGGTGATCCACCCAGTGTCGGGCATCCTTGGAAAGATTTTCCAAATTCTCGTCCGCCTTTGAAAAGGGATCTTCCTTGGATCAAAGGCACACTAAGCGAACCAAATCAGATTGAAACATGTGTGTTCTTACTCAATGGGTTTCCACACCAAAAATGGGGGGACCTGCATGCATGAAGATAACCCAAAAACAAGTTTTAAGATAGCTTACGTACTTGCTGAGTAAGTGCAACTATCAGGGCAATCCCAAGTAAAACTTCCAGAAAGATTTGGACACATACTTTGGCAGATGGTTCTTGGACATGTGAACTGCATGCAAGGGTCCTGCTGTACCATGGCCGACTCCTCCGGCAGGTTGTCCACCCACATTGCTGCAAAGGAAGGCTTGAAGGTGGGATCCTTCTGGGAAAGAACCTCTCTGATCTCGGCATGGAAATCCCTGAGTTGGTTGGGCTGCTGGGAAGCCATGAAATGAAATCACTGTTTTACACACTTCTGGGGGGCTCAAACATATGGCGAAAAGAAACACTAAATTTTGTTCAAGCTAGGGGGCCCCTCAATACACCGAGTCTGCACAGCATCCAGCACAGACGGTGCAAACATGGTTGTGCCATCATCGAACGTGGCTTTGCGCATTTCACTGATCCTTAGTGGCTTTTGATTAGTCAGCGTGCCAATCATATTTAATTGATTTTTAATGGACTATGAAGCTGCCTTGGTACTGCCATATCGAAACAGAAAAGGATACCAGCACCAAAAAAAACGAATACTATGTTCAGAGAACGCCGCAAGGGTGCTCGGCATTTCTAAAACATACGATGTTTCAAAAGGAATCGTTGGTTGCCTTTTACCTCCGTATGAATTTACAAAAGACCTAGAACATATAACTGCAAGACAAATGGCAAATACAAAAACTTTTGAATACCAATTGGCTAGGTTCACCCATCCCAAAGTACAGCACACATCAACTTCATTGCACCATTCTTGCAAGGAGACTCGTACCATGGTCCTGGCCCCAGCACGTCGAAACGTGACGGAATGAAGCTTCAATATACCTGCATGGAAGATGGGCTTCAAGCCAACAAACAAACACATTGACTTATAAAACATATTATACTTACGAAACAAAGTTCGAAATGTGGCTATCATGCCAAAGAGCGTTCCAGAAAGAGCAATTGCTTGTCCGGATCCACTGTGAGGACAGAGTTCCACATGGCACATGGCGCCTTTGCACAGGCCTCCAGCAACCACCGTGGATCCAGCAACTGCTCTTTCGAGAAGGCTGACAGGGTTTCCCAAGCAGAAGATGTGTGTTTGTGGTGGAATTGAAACAACATGACCAATGGAAAAACCGAACCATAAGTGAGTGGTAAGATTCTCCTGATGTACGGATTTGATATCTTTCTTTTTGACTCCTGTGCCTGACTGTTCCCAGCGGTACTGGTGCAAATGACGTTCCATGAGCTGCCATGCTTTGTCGGAGACACCTGCCTTATATCATCACAGTATGATTGGTAAAAGTGCACACTTGAATTTACATGAAATAAGCTCTTTTCAACAAGTAAGTGTCTGGAAATGCTCTTTTTGACCTTATTTATTCCTGGACACTTTTTATTTATTCCAGAAGTTTGGACATTTCTAAAGTGAGCATTGGAAGAAAATCATCCCAACACCGTAGGGCTGAGTATCAATCACAAGTTGCCGAAACAGGCCAAGCCACTTTGAATCCAAACAGCTGAACTGCCAACTCATCAGGAACCTGGTACTTGGGATTGCTCACTGCAAGACCATAATGGTTGAACTCCTCCACACTTCGTAAAAACGCATTGCGGAATCCGCGTGCATCACCATAAGCTGCAGGCTCCTGAGTGAAGGCTGAAAACTAATGTCAATACCTTTCCTATCCCAAAAAGATCAGCTATTTAATGTCAAAACCACGGATCGCGCTTTAAGTTTTATGTGGCAAAAAACTTGAGATTTGGCAAAAGTCCGCACAAGAGAACTCAGGACAACCCCCCACTAACTGTTGATCTCCTGTAGCATGCTTTGCTTAGCCCGTCGGGTGAACACCAGTGCTTTCTGAATGATGTTCTTGCGCTCACGCTGTGCCTGCTGCTCTGACGCTTGGATGCGCTTCCATTCATAGTGGGACTCATGAGCTTCCTGAATGACTCTGCATTGCAGGGTCGCCACTGTGCGAATCCACCTGGCATCTGAAGGTGCAGACAGGGAGTGGGGTGGAATGCTTAATTTTGAACATCAGATTGTGTAGCACTGAATCTACCAAAAAACAATCTGCATTGAATGAAATGTTGGAGTTCTTTCGTCAGACTCAGATATTTTGCGGGGACGACCTGTAGACCCAGGTACTTTGCGGGGACGACCTGTAGACCCACAGGTATTTTGCGGGGACGACCTGTAGACCCACAGGTATTTTGCGGGGACGACCTGTAGACCCTAGAAGTCACCCTTAGAGACATTCTGCGTCACGGATTTTGATTGGAAGTTGGGATTGTTCAAGGGACGACCTCTAGACCCTAGAGGTCACCCTTGGAGATATTCTGCGGACTCAACATCACTCAATTTCTATTCTGCAGATATGTGCAGAATACCTGTAAGTCATGAGTTATATGGTTGCAATGATGTTTTTCATCTAACGCAAGTATTCTGCGGGATGTTTTCAATGCTCAGTAGCTGCCAGTAGATCTGCAGAATATCTTCAAGGACGACCTCTAGACCCTACAGATCACCCTTCAGGAAGAGGCAGTTTTTGTTAAAAATCCACGATCCAGATTGTCTCTGAGACAATCTGCTGGATAGGTTTGCTTGCAAATCAACTTCGCAAAATATGTTCACATAATATGTTTGCACAATAGCTTTGAATACTGGGTTTGCAAAATACCTAGTGCATAATGTGTTAAAACTTGCAAAGTGTCACAGCAAAACAACCTGTACTCAAGTTTGACAACCAAATACCACCGGTATATTGACTGCGCCAGGCCTAGATTGACCTGCAATATCAGGAAGGGTTCGGAAGGAAAATTCTTACCTAATTTGCAGTATGTACAGTATGTAGCATGGGATATAATCAAATCAAGTGTGATTTGACAAGTCGTTTTTTTGCACATCTTTACGCTGAGTGGAATCAACCGCCAATCATTTAGTCACTTCAAGCAGCACATGCACCTGACAAAGTCCTCTTTGACAGCATCAGTCATGGAATCATCGTCCTTGTTCAGGAATGTATACAAAGCACCAAAGTAAATCATTGATAGGCGACCCAGCCCCTTGGTGCATTGAAGCCCACCATGGTCGGAAGTTGTGGCCCGGATTTTGCATTCCATTGGCTCCCGCAAAGGATCAAAGCCTGCCCAGAAGATGCCAGTGGCCACGTTGCGCCAGGCAGGGAACAGTGGCACACCATCCGCAGGCATGTGGTACCAAATCGAAGTGAGCGGCACATCCACAAGCTTCTGTTCGTTGCAATCCTGGGTGTTTTATCATGAACATGATGATCTGCAGAAAACTTTTGAGATTAGATGGTGATGACACTGACAAGGACTTGGACAGCAACAAGGACAAGGATGATGATGATGATGATGGTGATGATGGTGATGGTGATGGTGATGGTGGTGATGATGATGGTTGCTTGGGTGTCTAAATGCCCAAAGCATGAACATGAACCCATCTAACACAAAGTTGTTGTGCCCCACATTGCCCACCGAAATCCAACTGATTCAGGAAGATCCAGAATTCTTTCTAATATCGTCCGATAGCCCAGATTCTTCTGGTTTGAAGGTGATTGGGCTTCCCACCACTCCCGGGACCAGCTCATCCAGCCAAATCCACAGGGCATCAAGAATGCCTTCCCCCATAGACAAGGTGTCCAGGAGCACCTGCACAGGATGTTTTCCAGCACTGACATCGAAGGTCCTAACGCAAAAGTATGTTCACATCATGATACTTCATTCCTCTTTTGGAGAAGGAACGCCAGTGGCTAACAAAGACTTTAAAATAAACTAGGATCCTGTGGTTTGGCACATGCATGTGTCAGTGGAACCCCAATGGAATAGTTGAATAGCTGTATGCTTGTACATTCTATCACTGGTTCGATGAGGGCATTTCCTGTGAAGAAAAAGTTGGCCAGAATTGGTTTCAACATTGTTGAATCATGGCAACAGAATCAGTGTAACCTCCACATGTTGGCAACCTATTTGCACCCAAAGTTCGCCAAAGCTGACATCATGAAATCATCGCACCACGGCTTTGATGGTTTTGCCACCTTGGCAACACCACCGGGTCCAGGTCCACTTCGCTTCGCCATGGGGCTGACAAATCTCAGGACCGTAGTACAGCTGAGAGGGGACGCCAGACGCAGGAGAAAACTATTTGACATAGTAACTTGTAGCTACAAACCACTTTATGACTTTATAGGAGGGTCTCGAAGTCAAAACATGTTTCATGCAATGTGGGCATCACTGGACATGCCTCGTACTGTCACACACAGGGCTATACAGGGTTTGATCTTCAAACCTTAAGGAAGCAGTGGATGCAAATGCTTCTGCATTCTTGCATGGTTCATGGTTGTGTTCAATGATATTCAATACACACACACACACTGATGATTGTGTTTCGTTGGGTGTGCGACTGCATGAAAGGACTATCCTCTTCTCATGGTCTTCACCCCTTTTTTGGCATGGAATGTTTGGCGTCCACATCAATTGCATGTCCGAATTTTTGCTGCTTGACAAGCTAGCATTAAGCGATTCAAGATTCTGATTTTTAAAGTCAGTTGCATTGACAACATCAGTCAGCAAAATGAATTATATCAAAGGCCAAACATTGAGAGTCAGGGAGCGATATCATCAAGCCCCAGAACTGCAGCTAATAAAACTGCACCGATGCATGGTACGTTCATGGCATTACCTGCCATCCTTGTTTTGGCTGTTCTACTGACTTCACCCATTTGCACCTTCGGTGCCTTGCAAATCTTGGCGTGCTTGTCCGTCATCGGCAGGACATGGCTGGAAAGCGCCTCTTCTGGCTCGATGTAGCGGCCATGTCCCTACAGGGCAGGAATTCACTTGTGCACAACTTACTTATTTTTCCAAAGTTCTGTGATTGATATCAGAATCTAAGTTGTCATGGGCTTTTGGATGCATTTGGTGGAATCTTCTCAAACTATCAGTTCAGACTCAAATATGCTCAAACCAATGAACAGCTTTATGACAGTGACACCAAAACCAATAAAACTTGGCCCACTGAAAAGGCCTGGCTGTAAATACGGCCGCTGTTGGTTGTAAGCGTTTGCAGACATTTGTCTTTAGTCTCCCCTCTAGCCCGCCCATTTTTGCAAAGCTGGTTGAGATCAGGGAAGCCAAAGCTCTTTTCCTCGTTGTAGCACTTCAGGTTCGCTGCCTTGGCTAGACAGGTACATGTCGGAACAAGCAAAATAAAGACTTCTAACAAGTTGTACACATGATAATATGCCCAAGATATTTCAACACAAACCTGGCCACAACCTAAACAGCACACAACATTATGCCACTGCTATGTTACAGCACTTGCTGACAAGATGGACTTGGGCAAACTCTTGTAGAAGTAGTTCGCTGCAGTCATGACAACGCGTTGACGGAGACAACCCAAAAAGCTGCTCAAAGTGAATGGGGCCACCCAGCGAACTTCCCGCCACTTGTAGCAAATCATAAAAACACGGGTTCGGCAACAAGGTAGTCCGAAGATCCGTGGATCCACCCGTGCTGACTCGATCATCCATTCACCTCCTAATTCTTTCTGAACCACTTCTTCTGTATATTCGGGAACGTTTTCAACCACACAGATCTTTGTCTTGCTCTTCTTGATTTCTCTGTAATAGCTCTTGTGGGTGACATGCTGAGCTCCCCCCTCCTTCTCGCGGTTTCCCATAGGCGAGTAGTGGACGCACACTGGCCCTTACTGCAGTTGCAAGTGCATCATGTGGGTGCAAGCAGCAAGCTGATATTTTGATTTCGAATGCTGATAAGGCTTGGGCCACCCACACTGACCTGCATACCTGAAGGAGCAATGGCTGGCGATGGGGAATGTGTGATTGGAACTGCAGTTTCCTTCGACCAATTGTTGGAATGTTTCAGTGGTGATCTAATGATTGGCTAGGTACAGTCTTCGTGTGGTTCAGGCTGAAGCTCACACATGCACTGATGTCTCACACAGTAGGACTTGCCCTTGTTCATGTCAATCTTTGTGATGTCTGGGAAGATGCACTGGTCACTATCAAAGGTGTCCAACAAGACCTTCTGGCAAGATTTGTCAATCTCGCATGCTGAAGTGATGTGGACAGACGCACCACTCTCAGGAGCAAATCTTCGTGCAGCTGCTTGCAAGGACAGGGCAGCCTCAAGCATCAAGTGTTTGGGCTTGAATGGCTTGAAATGCAGTTTCTCCCCTAAACTGAGCATACAGAGTTAGTAGCTGAGAAGCATTGTTGATAGATCATGTCCCAAATTCAGGCACTGACGATTTCAGCGCACCCCACTCCAGTGAATGCTGTGGACATTGTCCACCTCCATTTGTTCAATCGTTTTTTCACCCAATCTCGTCCAAAAATGAGTTCGATCCTTTCCATGAAAACCGATGCCCACTTGTAGGTACTTCTGATGCTCTTGAATCCCTCTGGATCCGAATCTCGAGCTTTCGGCACATTGCACTTTCGATAGTAAAACCTCGATATGTTCATGGTCATGCTGACCGACTTGCAATACATCACATGTCACAGCTGAGTCACAAGTATAGCAAACATGTAGAACAGCCCTTCACAAAACAAAGCCGAGGTGGAGGCCCTCCTGAGAGACATGTCAGATCATCATGATCTCGCCTTGCCAACATCTACCAAGCAATGTGACAACCTGCCCAGTGACAGCAAGATCATGGGCTTAACTTTATCCCAGCAAAGGTGTGTAATTCCGCAGCTCACTGAGGGGCCAGCTCTGCAGTGCCAACATTCATCACATCAGTTGACCTTATCATTGGCAGGTTTTAGAGCACCTGGTTTTTTCTCCAACAATCTAGTATGAAAGAGAAGGACCAGCAATCAAGAAGACCATATATTATAAGCCATCATAGATCAAATTGTTCCCCCCACAGAAGGTTAAAGAACAAAGCTGGCTGTGACAGCAAACATCTATGGGCTTGAGCTTCACACCGTTTCTTCATGAACTCACCGCTGCCTCTCCTTGCGAAATTGGTAATGGAAAAATATCTATTTGAGAGTGTGCACATTCTAGGACACTGGTGATTGGTCAAAGCTTCTACAAAGTGGTTCGGAACCCTGGCTGGGACATGGGCTCAGGGACACCAGTGCTCACCCGGCTGCAAGCTCCCAGCATAGAGTCTATGATTTGTACTGAGGCTGGTCAAAACAGATTCCCCATCATTTTGTATGTATGTGTATGCTTTCACACAATATGTTTCACAGACAACCCACTGACAATCAACAAAGCACGGTTCCTCTTTGATGGTATGACCTTCCTTGATTCAGTGATACTGGGCCAGATTCTGGTTGTACCAAACTGGATGGTACATTTGAAATTAGTTCTAAATTAGTTAGTTTTAAGATCGGTCGGTATTGGAGTGGCTTTGGGATATGTACCATACACGGTGTCGAAGACAACATATTTCCATCAAATATGAAATAACGGAGCAAGTGGCTGATGTCTCACGAGTGGAATTCTTGGCTGGCGTTTTTTTTTAATTATTTTATTGCGGTTCGTGTTTCTTCTTCTTGTTGGTGCTGTTGTTATGGTATTTCTCTTTCTTATTCATCTTTGTCTGGTCCATTGTCTTGCTTTTCTGTCGTTGCTGCTTCTGTCGCAAGTGTTCTTGCTGTCTTTTGCTGCAGCTAATTTTGGTTGCTGTTGCTGCTGTGGTTGTGGTTGTGGTTGTGTTTGTGGTTGTGTTTGTGGTTGTGTTTGTGTTTGTTGTTGATGTTGATGCTGATGTTGGTGTTGATGTTGTTGTTGTTGTTGATTGTTGTTGATTGTTGTTGTTGTTGTTGTTGTTGTGGTTGTTGTGGTTGTTGTGGTTGTTGTTGTTGTTGATTGTTGTTGTTGATTGTTTTTTGTTGTTTTTGTTGTTGTTGTTGTTGTTGATTGTTGTTGTTGATTGTTGTTGTTGATTGTTGTTGTTGATTGTTTTTGTTGATTGATTTTGTTGTTGTTGTGGTTGTTGTCATCATTGTGGTTGTTGTTATTGTTGTTGTGGTTGTGGTTGTGGTTGCGATTGTTGTGGTTGCTGTGGTTGTGGTTGTGGTTGTGGTTGTGGTTGTGGTTGTGGTTGTGGTTGTGGTTGTTGTTGTTGTTGTTGTTGTTGTTGTTGTTGTTGTTGTTGTGGTTGTGGTTGCGATTGTTGTGGTTGTTGTCGTTGTCGTTGTCGTTGTTGTTGTTGTTGCTGTTTGTTCTTGCTCTTGCATTTGCTCTTTCTCTTGTTCTTTTTCTTTCTTTTGTGATTGTTGCTGCTGTTGCAGTTGGTGTTGGTGTTGGTGGTGAAGTTGTTCTTGTTACTGTTGTTGTTTTCGTCGTCGTCGTCGTCATTGTTGTTTTTGTTGTTGTTGCTGCTGCTGCTGCTGTTGGTGTTGGTGTTGGTGCTGTTGTTGCTGTTGTTGCTGCTTGTGATGTTGATGCTGCTTTCAGCTGTGTTGCTTCTGTTGCTGTCACCAGCACCCTTGTTGGCAGGTGTGTTGCTTTGCTGCACTAATGCTTCACCATTTTTCTGTCCAACTTCTTGTTATTGCTGCTGTTGTTGATGACTTTATTCTCTTGTCACTGAATTATTGCTGTTTCGCTGTTGTCAGTGTCTGAGTCATTGTCACTGTCTCTGTTGTCGTTGTTGTTGTTGATGATGATGATGATGATGATGGAAGGATGGATGATGGACATGATTCAGTGATGATGATGATGATGATGATGAGGGGGATGATGAGGATGAGGATGAGGAAGATGATGATGATGATGGTGATGATGATGATGATGATGATGAAAAAGAAGCTGTTTTGGCGGCGCTAGTGCTTCGTTTTCAATGATGCTTCCTGAAAGTTCACAATGAGCCTGCCAACCTGCCATACAATTTATGTGGATAAACACTGATGAACATACCATCAGTCAGCACTGATGCATGAACACTGGAAAAGGACAAATAAGTAAACAGCAATCTTGCCAAAGCTATCTGAGAACTTTGTACACATGACTTGCCTGACACTGCATTGTTGTCAGGACAACTCACAGCAGTGTGCATCACTGAAAATCACCAAGGATTGCAGGACACTCACACACACACCCACACTTGCTCAGAACAGTCATTGCGAATTCTGATGTGGAATGCATCTTACATGCAAAAACACTTCAATCAAACCTGACAGGAAAGGGTTGATGACAAGATCCGAGAAGGATCGAAATGTAACATATCAATCTGAACCGAATTATTCTCCCTCTATTGACAGAGGAGAAATCCAGATTGCGACAAGTGCAGTAAATAGCAGGTGCAAGTGGTTGATCAGACCACTCACATCCACCGAAATGCCATAGCTTCGTTGGACTGGATAGGCAAATCAGCTCCAGTCCCCCTGCTTTTTCTGGAATAATGCAACAAAACCGGAAGGTAAATACATGGAAGTAGAAGTTTTACATCTTTTCAGATGGTTCACACACACACACACCCTCCCGCAGGAGGGTGGAAAAAAACGAAGGTCCGGACAATGAAATGAAGATGAAGAAGAAGGGAAATGAAAATGAGGAGAAGGTGAAAATGAGATGAAAGTTACTTAACCAGGGCGCGAAAAGGGGAACTCAAAAGAAGAAGGAAGGAGAAAACACCAACACATGAAACCTAGCCCAAAGCAGGCAAACCCTGGAAAGGCAAGGGAAAAGAAAAGCGAAGGCCGACGGAAACGGAACAAGACCAGCGGAGGGGGGGAGGACGGAAGCGCCTAAACCAACTTAACACGGCGAAAACCTACACCTACCTCGGCACACGAAGAACCCAACCTACTTGTAGAGGGGAGAACACATGAAATAGGGGACCCGTGGGGAACTAGTTAGTGAAAAGATGCATCCACATGTCATGCAAGATGCATGATAAGGCTCAGAGGCCCTCTGCTTTCGTTTCACAACACTGTAAACGGCTTACGTCGTCAACCCCTGAATTACGTGCACAATTGAATCTCACCAACGACCATAAAAAGAAGAGTCACCATACCTGCAAGCATGGCCTGTGCCTGGAATCCTCATGTTGCAATTGTCGACATCTGTAAATGCTCGAGCAATATTGAAAAAGGAAAGTTGTTGTCGCAGCTTCCAGCTATGCAAAACAGGGGTAGTCTCAAAAACGGTGAGGCCAGTCACAGCGGCAAGCTGTTTAACCAATCGACTGGTGAAACCATGAAAGGCCAGCTGTTTCACTTTACTTAGTCGAATTACTAAATAAAATAAGTGTATATAAATTCAGACATCGGGTCGTTGCATCCACACTTTGCTTAGAAAAGCATTCTTTGGCAACTATGTTGGGCCTCTGTTGGGCCATTTTAAGGCTATGTTGGGCCTTTGTTGGGTCATTTGGGGCTCTGCTGGCGGCTTTCGGGCCTAAAATTTCAACCCCAACCGAAGCATGGTTCGGTTGAGGTTGAATTTTGGGTCGGTTTCGGGCTTATGCTGGGCCATTTGGAAGCTATGTTGGGCCTCTGTTGGGCCATTTTAAGGCTATGTTGGGCTTTTGTTGGGTCGTTTGGGGCTCTGCTGGCGGCTTTCAGGCCTAAAATTTCAACCCCAACCGAAGCATGGTTCGGTTGAGGTTGAATTTTGGGTCGGTTTCGGGCTTATGCTGGGCCATTTGGAGGCTATATTGGGACTTTGTTGTGCAGCAGGGTTCATGCCACCTTGATGAATCCAGCATGAATCACACACTTGCTCAGAAACAGTCATTGCGAATTCTGATGTGGAATGCATCTTACATGCAAAAACACTCCAATTAAACTTGACAGGAAAGGGTGGATGACAAGATCCGAGAAGGATCGAAATGTAACATATCAATCTGAATCGAATCATTCTCCCTCTATTGACAGCGGAGAAATCCAGATTGCGACAAGTGCAGTAAATAGCAGGTGCAAGTGGTTGATCAGACCACTCACATCCACCGAAATGCCATAGCTTCGTTGGACTGGATAGGCAAATCAGCTCCAGTCCCCCTGTTTTTTCTGGAATAATGCAACAAAACCGGAAGGTAAATACATGGAAGTAGAAGTTTTACATTTTTTCAGATGGTTCACACACACACACACTGGGCATTGTGTTTCGCCTTCTAGGGTTCTAGATGAGGAATCCGAACGCAAGTACACTGACTGGTTCCAATCCACACAAGATACAAAAAAATGTAAAGAATAAAGAAGTACATGGGCACTAAGTTTTAGGCGATTTTCCTTCAGCTCTGGTGGAATCTCTGTGCGGGTTCCTGTGCATGACTTACTTCAGCAATCCCCCCTAAGACCTGCATGCCAGCTCACAATCCCTTTCACCTGAGGATCTTGCTGAGCTGTGGTCTTACGATCTTTCACCGAAGCCGTGGCCCTGCAGGCAAGGTATGGAACGGCCCTTGAAGAATGAAGACTTCACCACTGCAAGTATATATAAGGCCTTTGAACCCTTGAGACTTTTGAGGACATAGGTGCGGAAGGCTTATGCCTGTAATGTGCCAGGAAAGTGAAAAAACATTAAAATTCCAATGATTGTGTCAGTGCTTTTGGGTCTGATAGGACAAGCAGAACAACCCCAAATTTCAAAATTGGCTTGAGTTTTACTTCTTATAGCTGAAACAGGTCACTGTCAAAATTTGAACATCAAAGAGTAGTTTGCAGTTTCAAAGCCTGGTGCTAACAACTGAGAAACACTGTAAAGGTTATCAGGCTAAGTTTGTCTGGGCTTGCGACTTGGCAAGTTGCTTCACCTTCTTCTGAACGAGTTGTTTCCTGAACAGGTATCAGCTCACTGCGACCCTGGCTTGAACGAACATAGCCAGGCCTGTTGGTTGGGAAGGTGGTCTTGACAGATGCCAGCACAGCATCACGAACACACAGTTTCCCTTTTGCCATGATACAACTGGTGTCAGTTTTGGGCCAGTGAAACTTCATGCATCCCAGAAAATTCATTGCGGCATAAGCAAGTCAGTAAACCTGTTGCAATAAACTTTGACAATCACACGACGCAGCATACTCGGCCAGCATTGTTTTTGACCGGTTGGAGGTCCCATCAACTTCACCCTGACTGAAAGCAAAGACATAGGATGTGACGAATTAGGTCAATCAAATTAAATCATCATTTTATGATGAAAGCTGTGTTGAAAACACGCTGTGTTCAAAAACTGGGCTCTCATGGTGACTCTTCACCGTTCTGTTGCTTATCAAATTCCTCCCTTTCTCGATCCATAGCTGCAAAGTGTGCAGGGAGGGCCACGTAGTAGAAGTGCTTCTGAGCCTCATGACACAGGGAGGTCTTACGGAAGTTGGATCACTATCAATGACTATCAACTAAATCAATGAAGGCAATGTCAAGCCTTCTCGTTGTAAGCCAGCAATCTTTCTTCAGTGACCTTGAAAAGGATACAAAGGAGCTTTCCTGTAAGTTGAATGAAGTTGGATTTCAATCCCTGGCCTGTGACTCCGAAATGCTTTCAAGATAGCTCCGGAGCTCCTGTTGCAGCATTGGTTGCTGCATTTAGCAACTGGATTTATTAGATGTTTGATGCGCTCATGATGCTGTGTGTGTTGTCAGACTGCCCTGGATTTGCGTAATACTTATCAAACCCACAGTCCTCTTTCTCTTTCTTGTCGTTTTCGTTGTCAACATCAACAACACTGGCCTGACATGGAAATATCAAGTATTGGGTTAGCTCCATATTTGCTGAAGTGTTTTACTGGGACAGGTCTTGGCAACCACGGCCTCCTGGTGCTTCCGTTTTCGTGAACACCTGAGCTGAACTTACCGGCACAGTACGTGCATGATTATTTTTCACAGACTGATGCATGCTTACTTTTGAGCTGAAGATATTCTCCAACAATCAACCCTGTCATCAGTCTCACTCATATTCAATGTTCTGGAGGAATCGTGCTATGGCTGTTATGATGGTGTTTTTTCGCAATCATGGCTTGGAATGCACCCCCTAAAATTCTGGAAAGACACTGTGATTGAGTACGCTCATGCATTGTACTGAGCTGTAGCATTGGATTGCACAGAGATCCAGCTGTTCATAAGACACTGGGCAACCAACTCCATTGAAGGAAGTTTCCTGCAGTGAGTGACAGCGAATGGCCACCCATGTGTGAATGGGCCTATTGATCCAGGCACCAGCTCGTAGAGAATTCCTGCAAGTACAGATAAACTGAAATCAGTATGAAAAGTCATGGGTTATGGTTTTCCTAGGGATCCGATGTTTACTTTCTTCATTGCTGAAAAGTTGCATTTCACACTCCTTGCGGTGGGAAGCTGTCCTCTGTAGCACCAGTGGTGTGGTCGATGTTTCAGGGAGCTGTGTGCTCTCAGAAGCTGCACTTGATGCTAGGAATTTCTGTTCTAACGCTTGTCAATGGGGATTGGTGGGTCATGCTGTTTCCCAATTATATGGTCTCAAACCGCTCGGGCAATAAAGAATGTTCAATCACCAAATAGTTCGACTATGTTCAGCAGCTGAACTCATGCTGAATTCATGTCAGTGCTGCTTGGACTGATACAGAGATTTGGGGAAAGGTAAACATAAGATTTAGGAGCTTCTAGGGATAAAGAGTTTCCTGTTTGTAGTGCTTCTGTGACATGTTAGTAGCCCAGAACCTGGAGAGAAAAATGAAGGCAACACAGCAATGATTTCGTACTAAACACACCACCAAACGGTGACCGAATTAGCAAAAACACTGCAGAAATGACATGAAAGCAGATGGTGTGCTGGCGAACTATGGGGTATGCTCCAAAGATCTGTTCTAGATTTCAAAGAAAACTTGACCAAGATACTGTGCCACAAAAACAACTCGAAACTGTAAACGCCAAGTGTTCGATCTAGATCAATGAAGATGCCTTGTGCTCAGTAGCTGAGCCATCCCACAAAATAAGGAATCACAGAATGACAGTTGATTCATATCAAGGCAGTTTATTTTTCAGATTGGTTGGATCACGAACCCAAAATACGAACCATTGCACATGGCCAAATATGTACATGACCAAACAGGCCACCGGATCGTTGCAGGAAGTGCATGACAGCTCATGCCTGAGTCTTTCACTGCCCCTTTCTCAAAAAACCTTTGGCCAACCATAAAGTCGTTGATATAAAACGGAAATAAAACCATTCCAAATGTGTAATTTAATGTTTAACAGTGCGGCCATGTGAGAATTGATCTCCCTATGGCAGCGCCAGGGCTTTCACAGATTCCAGCTTCGAAGTCTTTCTTGTATGATTTCCAAACTGTTCCAAAATACGTTCATCAAACCAGTCCAGCTAAATTATAATGCTATCTTTAACTTTTGTTTTGCTATCTTGGACTTCTGGGTTCCATCCTGAAACATGTCGAAACGTTGCTTTCCTGAAAAAAAATCTTTTATTCACTTTTCAGAAGAAAAGGCTTGTCAGCTGGTAGGGTCACTAGTCGTTCAACTGGGCGGTGAAACGCATAATCGGGGCCAGTCTTCTCAATGCCGATGGGAGGCCAGTCTTGATCTCATCCATATTTGTTTCCTGAGAGAAGTATGTTGTTCCAAGGGTTTGTGTAGTTGCAGTTACTGTCTGGTACATAACAGAAATCCATTGATATGGAGACCTGGGGCAAGACCTGCTATATCCTACTACCATCCGCTAGCCGCTAGCACCAAACAACATCAAATTTTTGCACTCAATATCATTTTCTACAGTCAGGGAACCTCCTCCAACCACTCCAATCTGGGGACACCAAGCGGACGAAGATTATCATCACACAGCTTCACCTGAGGTTTGCAATCACTCTATAACACCCACCCTTGCAAGAAACACACCCGGGACAGCAAACAAAACCCCACCAGAAGGAAATTGCAATGAGATCAAATGATCCACTACTTATTGCATGCCCACCAACAAGCAAAAATGTTGGAACCAATCCACTTGAAGCAAAGGAACCAGAAACTGAACACTCCTCCCCGAGGATTCTAAAGGAGCTTTCTGCAGGATCAGGTTGGCCAGTGACAAATAATCGCTTTTTTTGGGGCCTTTCACTGGTTTCAAAGCACGGGCTACGTTGGGGACCGGCCCCAGCCGCTGCAAATATCTGAAGGGCCAACATAGCACTGGATCCTGCAGCGGAAACTGTGGAAGGGGGTGGGTAAGTCAAAGTCCAATTTTTTCTACCTTCGACATCAAATTGGTTGTATACTGACATGTACTGAAAAGTAAAGACCCAGTACAGTAAAGACAGGGAAACCAAACAACCATCCGAAAGCAAACCTAATATTAAATCTACCTTGGTCCTGGATCAGTTGTTCATCTG